TTAGTTCAATGAGAAGAAAGATTTATACTAATAGTGTTTACACAAGATATCATGTCTGCATCTTGTACTCTGAATAACTACTACGAAGACAACAATATGCAATGTATTAATTATTGGAACTGTCCTACTTAACCTGTTTTGAAACTGTTTCATTGCTATTTCTTTCTCAATAAAATTAATTTTTTTAAAAAAGGATATTAAGTGCTCCTGAGCATTTAGTCATTTGTTTAATACGTGTCTTTTCTAGCACACTACGTTCCATGACAATAGGGACAGCATGTCTCTAAGGTCCAGCATAGACCCTGGATGTAAGTATCTGGGACTGAAAGAAGGCCACTGATCTGGAAGAATACCATGAAAAGAAATTCTGCCTTGGGCATGGCTGTGAACTACATTAGTTCTCATGAATCTTCTAACTTGCTCTATACCCAGGATCTTGGTGCATTCTAAGTTTTTTGTTCTTTTCTTTTTTTGGGAGGGAGGCTGTCAGTGCTTTTGGCCAAATCCAAGGGCTGAGACATGCTAGGCATACCAAGTGAGTTATGACCCTAGTCCTGTAATCTAAGAGTTATATTGGCATTTCTAGTAGTTAGAATCTATGCGAAACTTGTGGTCAACTAGACCGCCATGCCTTTTTCACTAATAACAGTCTACACTTGTAAAAACTGACTTAACCCACTGTAAAGCTGCACACTAAAAAGGGATCCATTTTACCTAAATACTTGGGCATATTAAGAAGACAGATGAATAGGTAATTATGGCAAGCACCACCCCCGGAAAAGAAAAAAGATGGAATAGATATAGATTTCTCTATTACAAGCAAAACAATGAATAGTATATATAAAGTATATATATATATATATATATATATATATATATATATATATATATATTTAGGTATAAGTAAAAATCCCAGGCACTATATACAAAGTATTTGCTTATACCAGGTATACAGGTCAGGTACAGGTAAAAATCTTGGAGATTATGCATACAGTATATGCATACAAACCTCTGAGAGGTGGAGAGGAGGCAGGAGACAGGCTGGGACCTGTGGGGTGGCCACAGGCCTGAGGCTCTGTGTTTTCCTTTGCCTCATACATCCCAGACTTGGAGCAGAAGCACAACTCAAAAATGTCAAGAACTGCAGACCACCAAAAATCAGATCTCTGCAGCCACTGACCAGGAAAGAGGCAGTTTAGAAAGATTAAAAAAAAAAAAAATCAGAAAATAATTACTCTAAAACCAGCCAAACACCTTAGAGAAAATTGACTTACAACCCTGCTCCACTTCTGTAAAGATTTAGTGATGGGCTGGCAAGATAGCTCAGTGGTCTAAAGTGCCTGCTTAGGAAACCTTAGGACCACAGTTCAACCACTGGCACCACACACTGTGCCAGCCCCACCTGTGGGTGTGCTGAGCCAGTGATGGAGCCTGGGCATGATGGCACATGCCTATAATCCCAGCGCTGGGGAGGCTGAAAACAGGAGGATCACTATAAGTCTGAACTGTGTAGTGAGTTGAGACCCTGTACAAACAAACAAACAAAAAGACTGAATGACATAATGAAAGTAAGAAGCTTAGGGTGGGCTCAAAAGCCCAAGGAAGGGGATAGTGGGGAAATTAGTGAACTAGAAGGTGGAATAATAGAAATTACCCAAACTGCATAACAGCAAGGAAAAAACTTTTACAATGAACAGAGCTTCAGAACCAATTGGGACAAAATAAAAAAAAAACTCAAATCCAAGAAAAAAATGGAGGTGGCTAAGGAACGCTGCTGATAAACAGATGCCCGTGGCTAGTGGGCTTGCTTGGTTCCTTCCAGGACAGAAGCACAGGGCTTGAAGCAGGGGACAAGAACACACTAGATCCTCCTGTGACAGAAGTGACATTGTTGAGTGGCTAAGTCCAAGTCTGAATGTAATTATCTTCTCAAATTTTGGGCTGAGGTATTAAGTAAAAAGTAAAAGTCCTTTTAAGGTCGAAGCATCTTATCTGAATTTGAAATATTGGCAATTAAATCTCTTACCCATATTGGGAGGAGCAGCATAAAAGATCAACAGATACCTACAGAGACCGAAGGCCAGTCACAAAATGAGTTAAATGTAATTAATGTCACATCATTCCAATAGTGGTGGTTTCAATTCAGGATTTTTCCCCAGTCCCACTGGCAGTACTGGATATAGGTTTTCTCCAAAAGGCTTTCTTACCTCATAGAAGAAGGGATGTCCGGCCATATCAAAGATGTTAACTTTGATTTCTCTGTCTCTGACTTGTACCCTGCAATGTTCAAATGCAATCAATCCCAAAGGTCATGGTTTCTGATTCACATTAGCATCATTTGTGAATTGTAAAAAGAAATACGTGTGAAGAATGAGAGGCTTTCTTTGTGCCTCTACTTAGCTCCACACAATTTTTACATTAGGAGCCAGGTAGATGACTTGACTCCTTATTTTATTTTATTTTATTTTATTATTATTTTTTTTAGACTCCTTATTTTAAAAGCACTGAGCCCACCCTGAATGAGCACACTCCTTTACCTTCACTTTCACCACAAGCTACTTCAGGCCAGGCCCTTGAGTCAACAAACGGTGGTTATTACTGGGTGCAAAAGGTTTGCATTCCCCTAGGAAGAGACCCTAACTATTACTGTGACATTTGGTTACTACACAGTGTTCAATTTTCTTCTCATCTTTTTTTTTTTTTTTTCTCTCCAGTACCAGAAATTGAACTCATAACTTTGCACTTGCCAGGCAGGCGCTGTGCCACTGAGCTACTCTCCAGCCCACATCTTATCCACTCTTATCATCTTTGAGCCATAGTCCATCTGTTTTCAGAAACAAACTTGGAAATAAAGAACAAAAGGAGAATCATTCATAATAGAAATAACTACTGTTAACAAGTTGACAACATAGTCTATTTGTTTCTAGTTTGTCTGTCTTTTAGTGGTATGAAGGCTTGAACCCAGGGCCTTGACACTGAGCTATCTCTCTCTCTCTCTCTCTCTCTCTCTCTCTCTCTCTCTCTCTCTCTCTCTCTCTCTCTCTCCCCAGGATCTTGCTAAGTTGCTATGTTGCCCAGGCTCGGCTCACACTTGTGATCCTCCTGGCTCAGCCTCCAGAATGCTGGGATCACAGATCTATGCTGCCATGCTATTTTTTTGTTTTTTTTCCTATATTTAGGTCAGGGTCTACACAGTCTACAAGGTGTTACTCCATAGATTGGACTCCTAGTGATTCTCCTGTTTTCAGCCTCCCAAGTGCTGGGATTACAGGTACGTGCCACTATGCCCAGTATCGATCGCTGCCTCAGCACGGCATGCCAGGGATCGAACCCCAGTCCCTGTGTCTGCCTAAGCAGGTGCTTTAATCTGCTGCGCTATCAGGCCAGCCCTTCCAGTCATTTTATT